CTATATGTTTTGTCGTAATGTCTCTTTATTGTGATATCTGTACATAAGTATTTTCTTTCATTTTTGAACTTACTGCATCAAGAAACAAACATGTCTTGACAAAAGGCACTGACTCTATTAATGTATACGAACACAAGATTTGAAAGTGCTGTGGAACTGACTCTTACAGTTACTCTATAATCTTTTACTACACATATACATCTCTATAACCCTGCATGGCCAGCGGTGTCTTATTGATTTGGTTTGAGAGGTCTTTGGCCTCCACTGGGAGTGCAGTTTTTTTGTTGGCTATTTTTTGATGAAGTGCTGACTCCTGACTTCACCTGTTTTTCTCCAGGAGTGTGGCACTGGTCGAGGGACTGCAGGAAGGTGAGAGTGTTGTTTCTGTAGCTGTGCTTCTGAGTTGCCTAAGAGCGATAATGCCATTTTTTCACATATGCCATTCATTTTCTGTTGCATTTAAAGCTTTGTTCACACTGCCAGCCCAAATCTGAAATGTCTGTGCATATCAGATTCGAATCTGTAGAAGGTGTGGGAAGCAAATAATTACATGAAATATGATTTTTTTGTTTAGGACAGTTGACCCAAAAAATAAAATGTACACACTATTACTCATCGGCAGCACAGTGGTGCAGTGCTTAGCATTGTTGCCTCACATCAAGAAGGTCACTGGTTCGAGTCCTGGCTGGGTCAGTTAGCATTTCTGTGGAGTTTGCAAATTATCCCCATGGGTTTCCTCCAGGTGCTCCAGTTTCCCAAAAAGTCCAAAGACATGTGATATAAGTGAACTGGATGAATTAAATTGTCAGTAGTGTATGTGTGTGATGCAAGAGTGTATGGGTGTTTTCCAGTACTGGGTTGCAATTAGAAGGGCATCCGCTCCATAAAACATCTGCTGGAATAATTGGTGGTTCATTCTGCTGTGGTGGCGTCTGATGAATAAAGGGACTAAGCCAAAAAGAAAATGAATGAATGTTTATTTTAATTTTAGGATTTATTGCTAGGGTTGTTATGTTTATACCAGTAAATATCCTTTTTATTGTTTTCGTATTTAAAAAAAGAATAAAATTAAATAAAATATGATATAATAAATAAATAAATAAAAAATAAATAAATAATTAAATAAATAAATAAAAAATAAATAAATAAATAACCCAGCATCAGTGTACACATGAAATATGAAGCAATCCAATGTTTTGTTATAATAAACTACTATATACTAGTTTGAAATCCTGTTCACATTTCGTAATTTTGCACAGCCTATACCATTTTCTCACAATATCTCTCAAATATCTGTAAAATGTAATTATGCAACATTGTGTTCACAGCCAATCAACGGTGCTTCCTTCTGTGAAAACACTTGGCATTTTGCACTGTCCGAATGTACCTTTTTCAGTACAACAATAATCATCTTTTTTTCAGCTCGTCAGAATTTAGAAACATTCACTGTGTTCTTTTAAAGGCAGGTGTTATGAGAAGGGTGACGAGAGACTCATGCGAGCTCAGGGAAAAAAGTCATTGACCTTCTTTCCCAATCAGTTTCCTGTTTGGGTCAGTTCTATGAATGCTTGTGAGTGTGTTTATGAGTAAAACGCTGCTTTCTGACATGTTTTTCCTCTTATCCCAAGCATGTGCCATAATGCAGCTGTCCAGGTGGAGGGGCACAGTGCTTTGCGCGATCTGTGCGGTCAGAAATATTTGTCTAAAAACAGGTTTTCATCCTGTGCATATAGACCACATCTGCAGGGTTATTTATCGCAGAGCTATTCTTTCAGCCTCTGCTTCAATTACAATACCAACAAACATGCTTGCTTTGCACCCGTAGCTACAGACGAAAACACATTTGTCTGATAAAATGCAAAAAAGGTCAAATTTAGTGCCTTAGTATATATTCCAGTAAGGGATGCAATTAGCTCAGCAAAATGCCAGCCGTGTGCTATCTTTGGCAGTGGTTGGCCATTAATGAACAAAAGAAGAGGCACAGTATAGAAACTGACCACAGGAAGGTTTTAAAAATATATACAGTCCAATCTGATAGAGATTTAAAAACATATACCACATTATTGAGAAAAACATTTTTGAGAAAAACATTGTTGAGAAAGAGGGTTTCTGTAATTGTTGTCATTCAAGCAGTTGGACAGTTTACAGGAATAACACGTGATGCTGTAGCAGTTGTAAATATTCATCTTGTGATGGTTCAAGGCTACAAAAACAATTATTTTATTGTGTTTACTCTTGTCTAGTTTATAATGCAAGATGCTGATGTCCATTTCAGAAGCCAGCCTGTTGTCTAAACATTGACAAATGAGTTTTTTTTTCTGTTATTCCAAATCCAATAAAAATTTGGTCAAATGAAATAATATATTTTATATATACCTGATATTTCTGTGTTTCCAGTTTCACAACCAAGCTCCAAAGTTTCAAAATGTTCCTAAAAGAGATTAAAAAAATGTTTAATGGTTTAATCTGTATCATAGTTAATTGTATTCTCATATAAACAATAATCAGACATCATTTACAGCACTCCAGCTTTGTCAAAAATACTCAAGGATGCTTAATTTATGATGCTTAATTTATTTATTTTAACAGAAGGAGTTCACAATGTTCAATGGGTGCTTTTTCCATTTATTTCCAATTTCAAATTGCATTATGGGATTTGGTTACAACTTTGCAGTTGAACATTTTGATTAGTTTGAAACTATATGAGGCCAGCTAGCGAAGTGCTATGTAGGTAAACCTCACTCCTCTGACCTCAAAGGTGCTCTAGCAACAACAGACGCTAGAGGCCATGGTCTTTGTCCTCCTTGTTAGAGCAACTGACTCCAATGCAAAGAATTGTCGGTTCAATCCCAGCTCAGTGTGGGTTGAGTGCAGTAGGACCGATGGATTACACGTGGGGCTCGTCCGGGATGGGGTGATGTTTTGGTGGGTTAGTGTAACGGAGGCCTAGCTAGCCAAGTGCTATGCAGGTAAACCTCACTCCTCTGATGACAAAAGGTGCTCTAGCGACAGACGCTAGAGGCCTTGGTCTTCAGCCTCCTTGTTAGAGCATCTGACTCTCATATAAAGAATAGCTCATTCAATCATAGCTCAGTAAGGGTTGGGTGTCGTAGAACTGGTGGATTACACATTGTCTGGGTTGATTATGCATTACACTTTAAAAACTGGGAGATGATCTGCCAGTCTCTCTTCTGTTATTTTATGGATTTTTTTTTATTAGAGTGCTGCACATTTGAGCTTTTGCATGAGTCAGTTAAGGTCATTTTCATGCATCGATCATATTGATCTTATATTCATTGTGCAAATTTTATATATATGCATAAAATCCCAAATTAAAGTTAATTCTCATATAAACGGGCCATGGCTTTTCAGAAAACATGGAATAAAAATCTCAGTTCTCATGGATTTATTTTCTTATTTTTTTAATCTGAATCTTTATTGAGATTTTTGATCTAAGGTTTTAGCAAATTATATGTCTTCATTTTTGCCCTTAAGATGGTTTTGAAATGACATTAGTGTAAGTAAATGACAACTTTTTGTTTCTGTGTAATCTCAGCATTTAATAGTGCAGGCAGTTGTTTTTTTGAAGTGTGAAACAGACTGAACATATGGTTTATTCCCATGTGCTGCACTACTGCGTCTCAGCACTGCTGTCCTATTGTTTGTAGTCTTCATCTGACCTTCAGATTGTAGACAGGTAGAGGAAAAGAGAGACAGACGATTTGAGTCCTATGGAGTTATATATACATAATACATCCTACAGAGTTGGCTGCCTAATGTTTGAGGGTTTGGATGGGGATATAAGCTGTCAACATGAAGCCCCAGGTGGCTGACAGTTTTCCCTCCTGAGTTTCAGGACTGTTGTCTGCCCTTGAACACAGAACTGCTGCGGCTCAGCTGGGGGTTTTCTTGGGTGTTCATTAGGCTTTAACAAAGGCTCTGTCAGAGGATATCTGATTTGGGGGGTGGCATCTATTGCAAATATTTGTCTGAATGGACGGCTTGGTGTAAAGGGTAGGCAATGAAAGCAGAATGAACACAATTGTGAGTAGATGATGGTATCCTTAAAATTTGTTGAATTTTTAATTTTAGCAAAGGTGATTTCTTGCTTAGTCCAGATTATGTGTCAAATATATCAGGACCATTTAATGAAAACTGAGGAAAAGTTCTAGACAAAATAGTATGTTTGATAATTAAATTGCACACATTTAAACAAAAAGTGTTTAATCCTTTCACATAAATTTATGTCTAAACAAGTCACATCTATTTGCAAACCAGTAGTAATGACAAATATAATAATAATAATAAAAATAATAATAATAATAATAATAATAATAATAATAATAATAATAATAATAATAATAATAATATTAATAATAATAATAATAATATACTGTTATTGTGCCCAAATGGCTCAAATTAGCTTCAAATTCTTACAGTCAAGTCTTACAAACACTTGTCAATAAGAAACTTTCACTCTAAAGTTAAAATTTAAAATTACTCCACTACATTGTAACTGTACTGTTTGGTCAACTATAATCCCAACTACATTGCAGATGCTTGAAATGTGACTATTGTGGACTTGCACATCTCTCTGTCTCCCTGTGTGTGTGTGTGTGTGTGTGTGTGTGTGTGTGTGTGTGTGTGTGTGTGTGTGTGTGTGTGTGTGTTTCTTTTCTATGTGCTTGTGTTATCTTGCACAAGGCACCAAGTGAATCAGGACTATATCACTATAAAATGGTGATTCACAAGGGCGTCCCCAGTGTGCTTTATTTATAAGAACTGTTTTCATCTAAAAATACTTGCTGAATTAGTGGTCTCCTATCAGTGTGGAATTCTATTAGGAAAATTTCAGTCTAAATCTTGAATGCCCGATTCCCCAGCAGAGTTAACAGCAGCACCTTTGTTCATTTGTTGCTAAGGAAGCGTTGCCTGTTGTGCAGGAAAGAGGGATAGCAGTTTCCTGTTATGAAGAGAGGTTTTTAAAGAGCTGCTTTCCTCCAATCATGCAGCAGATGAGCAGAAAGGAAGCCTGGCGAAAAGCATTTAGTGTTTCTAGAACCTGTTTTTAGGAACATTTGTTTACCCAAAGGCATTTTGAGAGGCTACCAACAAACTGACTGCATGATATTCAGGAAAATTAACTTTACCGTTACAGATTGTGAAACAGCTAATGTTTTGTAGATTATACAACTAAATAGAATGACAAAAATAGTGAAAATGTGGTTTTATTAGAATTTTCTAGTTTTTTACTGCTGTTCAAAATCTTGAAAAGGATCCTCTGAAATGGCTCTTAAAACGTACCATCTTGTGACAGTAATGGAACAGTCCGTGAAAGTGCCATACGCCACTGATGGTTATTGGTTATAGATGTTTTTCCTCTGTGGTTTTGGTCATCGATCCTTGTATTCCCGTGAGGGAGACTGTACCTCCTCAGGAAGCGCGCGGAAAACACCTTCAGTCTCCGCGCGCAGACCGGAGCGCGCGCGCATCTCTCATTCCTTCAGGCGAGAAGCGCGCGGACCTGAAGGGACCTGCTGCAACAGTCGGCAAAAAAACTGATAATTTTTGAAGTCTCGTCGTCGAATAAAACATGAAGTGTTTACTGTTTACTTCACATGCTTTATGACAAATGTCGCTGGAGTAAGTTGACGGCACCTCTGGATATACTGTTACTTCGGCGGAATATCAAGGGATAATGTGGAAGTATTTCAGATGCCGTGGTGGATGACATCCGATAATGAACACAGGTAACGTTTTGAAAGCAAATAGTCATGAGATAACTTTGTTAAATTAGTCCTTCGAACGTACTAACTTATATAAAATCAACCTTATCAGAAAGGTATAGGGATATAGGTATATTGCAGTGTTTTTGTATTCGTGCATTATTGTGGAAAAAGTTTCAGACGTATGAAGTACTTGTTTTTATCGTACATTGATATTGTTTTGACACTTTATTAAACTATACCTAGACATTGTTTTAATCAGCAATATTGTACTGCCACGGTCTTCCTCAAAACGACAATAGTGATGCTGAATGATTTTTTGTCTATACTAAAGAGGTTAATTCTATCTCTCACACAAGTATACACTGTACATAAAATATATACAGTGCTCAGTACTACTGAGAACTCCCCATTTTGAGAATCAATTTTTTATACATTTCTCAGTGAATATAGGTCATATATTTTGGTGCATTTGAACAAAACAGATTTATTAAACGCATATATTTATTAAAATATAATTTTAGTCACAGGACATTCAAAAATAGTTAGAAAATGAATTTACTTTCATGCGAAATATTGGGAAAAAATACAAAACACAAAATTTCAACAAAATTTTATAATTGTTTTGTTTTTCTTAAATTTTGCTCTTTTAAATTATTTTGTTAGTATTTTTCTTTAACATTTAAATTTGGGTGTATCAATTTTGGGCCGTTATCATAAGGTAATTTGTTGGATTAGCTCCAGATTTGGCTTTAATACTGACTAATCCAATGTGCATGCACAAATATAATATTGTAAAGCATCCTATAGAAAATATTAATGAAGGCGTACTCTCATATACAGTATGCTGAGCACTGTAGGCTAATTTTTTCAAGCTACAAATTTTGCTAGAAATTACACATTTTGACTACAAAAACACAAATAACGGATATACTCTTACCTTTGATTCTGATTCTTATTTTAAATACATTATTGAGTTTTGTATTAGGTATACACTTTTATCTTATTAAGACCAAGATCTTGTCCCTGCTATGTCAAAACAAAGGTTTTATATCCTTGTAAGAACGCTTTTGTTTATTTAATAATTTGTGTGATTCTGAATTCCTATTTCAGTTTGTCCTGTTCACTGTCATCTAGGACTAAATTAGCAAGCAAAATTGGATGATAATTTACAGCCCATATCAAAGATTGCACTGATGGCTTTGCACATTGAAGAGTTTGTTTCTGCTTTTATTCCTCCCATTGTGTGTAACCATTTGTTTTAAGTGAATTCTTGTTGCATAATTCATATCCTGTTATTTTGCCAAGGGGACCTTAGTTGGGATGTTGATGTTTCTCTTTTTATTGTTCTTTAACGCACTGAAACGACCTTTTTCAAAAAAAAAATCAGTCTGGGGGGTTGTGAAGGGTGGGATTTATCACTTGAGAGTGAATCATGGGAAGGCTGACGAGAAGGAAGTGTATTTGTGTTGTGAAAAACTGCACTCTTGTAGAAAATATAGGGAGGGGGTTCATGGAGGAGACAGGGTGCACTGTTAATGTCCTTCCCCTTTGCACTTCCTGTCCGCTGTCCTTCCAGGAGAGTCTGCTGGAATAGTTAATTAGTCGTGTCAGGAAGCAACATCTTAGCAGGGTGAACACCAAGTGCACGGTGAGTTTAATAGGACGTGCGTCAAGGCAGGTAGCAAATAACAGGAAAAGACAAGGGGTGTATGAGTTTTGTTAAAAGAAAGGGTGTGCTTCACCAAAAATGGCTTTCAGGTTTACCCTTTTTGAGAAGATGCACTTCAGAGTTTGCTGCTATGGTCTTATTAGTTGAAATACATTATATCTATCAGTGAAAATGATGTTCAGCTTAAATGGAGTGAGCATATAATCACTTCATTATGTTTTAAGTTCAGAGGTTGCAATTCATCAATTAGTCATTATAGATCAATCAATATGCTGTTTTAACGTAGCAGCTGAGGTCATAATGTTGTCATGTTGGTCAGTTTGTAAATTCACTCATTTCTTTTGCAAAGGCATCAGAAAATGTAATGTTTTCTCTTTCTGTTTGCAGATTTTTAGAGGCAATTCTATACTTCTCAACCAAAGACAAAGCCATTTGACTTTAACTGTGTGCTCCACCCTGATGTCAAGGCCTTGTCCTTCCACCCGAGGTCCTAAACCTCCTGTGGCACCCAAACCAAGGCTGGCTTCAGAGGTGAGCCATAGCATTGTGGGCAATGGGGACATAACATCCTCTGACAGACTGGAATTGAAGCAAGATAATAAGTCAGATGTTGCACAGGAGGAATCAGATAAATCCAGAGAAAACTGTACTGACGATCAAGCAGAGAATGACTTATATGACAAAGAGTTCGCTGTAAATTATGACACTACTTGCTATGATGAAATAGAGGACAAATTGCAAATGGCAGTGGATGAAACAATGGGAGAGGATGAAGATAAAAATGTCACTGAAATACAGCATGCAACAACTTTGAGTTTATCGGAAGCTGTTGATGAATGTCTTGATTCAGCAGATGAGTTCCACAGCAAAAGCGCTGATGATATCAAGCCAGCTGAGAGCAGAGAAGTTATTTATAATGTACTTGAAGACACCAGTGCATGTTCTGAGAATGATACATCGACTAAAGCATGTGAATCTCAAAGTCCTTATGAGGAGATTGAGGAACCACCATTAAACAGTTTTCAGTGCGCCAATGGTCAGTACGAAGAGGACATTGGAGCAGGTGCAAACTGTGTCCATCATGAAGCAGAAGAAGATGGGACTGGACTTTCTTCAAAGGCTACAAACTGCAGTCAACCCTCACTATGCGAGGAATACCCTTATGATATCATTGGCACATTGGATGACAACAATACTTGGCAGGCTGAACGGGCTACCAAAGACCCATCTGGACGCTTCAGGTTTGCAGAGGAGACAGAAGATGCATTTGAGCCCTACTCTGTCATTGAGGTGGTGCCAAGTGATTTGATGTGCACTGCTGATCCAGAAACAAGATGCACTGATGAAGAGTCGAGCAATGTAAAACCAATGGACTCTGAGAACACAACAGAGGGAACATCAAACCAAGAGCCTTACTATGTGTCATCGGAAGATGTGGAAGATTTAGAGGAGGAACAGGCAAAATTAGAAAACGGTGTCTCTCTACCTGCTTCTGAGGTTCAGGAAATGGACAAAAATGAAGAGGTAGATGATTATGCTGATATTGAAGACCATGAAGGTGATGATCACCAGGTGGAGTGTGCTTCGTCAGAGGATTACGTCGAGATAGGAGATGAAGATGAACCATTAAACATGGAGAGGAAAACCAAGGGCAAGAGTGTAAGGGAACGGTCAGCTAGACGACGACATGATCTTTTGAGTCAGAGGAACAGCTGCCAGCCACGTCTCAGACTATGCAACATCACTGTTCCTGCTGACCTGGATTTAGGCAGAACTCCAGAACTTACAAACCGTGTTGTTTTTGCCCACACAACAGAAGCCTTTGAAGAGGACATCGAAGAGCTGGACTGCCATATTGTGCCTTTCTTTGAGGACTCGGACACAGAAAGTGACGAACACATATACGAGGAGGCTGGCTTCGACTCAGAGGGTGAGAACTTTATCTCACTGGACAGGAAGAGCATTGTGACAAGATCTCGCTCGCTTTCTGGGAAAGTACCTGGATATGTTCCTGAGACTGTGCCTGAGGAGACGGGCACGGAGTACCAGTCTCACGACTACTACACTGTGGCCTTAGACCAGAATGGAGATCCACATCCAAAGCCTTCAGATGAAGCGGAAGCCAATAGAATTATTCCTTCATTGAAACCAAGGCGTTTTCTTCTTTCCCCTCGGTCACTCTCAGTTGAGGGCAGAGATTTGCAGCTCTCAGGGCACTTTGAGGGTGAGAAATCTCTTAGAGAGGAATACAGACTGCAAAGAAAAGATGACACACTTTCTTTGCCCTGTGTCATTACTTCCTCTGGAAGCTTTTCTCAAAGAAGTCACCAGTCCTCCAGTGGCGTGTCGACACCTACATCTCTAGTCGATATCCCGCCTCCCTTTGAGTTAGCTTACATAACTAAGCGGCCTGTTACCAAAAGCTCCCCATCACTTCTAATCCAACATGATTCTCCTGACAACCCCAAAAAGAAGAAGACTTCATTTAAACGCTTTTTGGCTTTAAAATTTAGGAAAAAATCAGAAAGCAAATCCCGGGGTGATGGCAGTGTCCGCTCCTCCAGGTCATCGTCTGAGTCTAGCCATCATGGGCCCATTCGAGTGTTGGAGCTTGATCGAAGGAGCACAAGTGGCTCCCCAAAGCTTCAGTCCCATGCAGGAAAACCTCAGCGTAACTCAGAAATACCCACCACGTTTCTGCTTTACAAAGAGAGACAAAGTAGGCAGGGTGCACTCAAGAGTTATAACAGCAGGGGTATATCCAGAGTCGAGTCCTTTGAGGACCGCACTCGACCCCCCTTCATGCCCTTACCACTCACTAAGCCCCGCTCTATCTCCTTTCCAAGCGCAGATACGTCTGACTATGAAAACATTCCTGCAATGAGTTCTGACTATGAGAATATTCAGATTCCACATGGGCGGCCTACACGTGCAGTCACTATTACAGAGTTCTTTGATGACCACAATAGGACAGCAGCACCTGCCAATGAGAACGATGGCTATGTGGATATGAATAGCTTTGCAGGAATTGAAAACAAGTCCACCACTCGAGAGCAAGATACTGAAAGGTAAAGCCACTGTTTTCTACAAGTACATACTTAGACTGTCTTCCACACGAATTGTAAGGCAATTAAAAGAAATCTTAAACTCTATTAGGTAGATTTGTTTCTGTTTAAATCATCAGATTGTATCAGGTTGTCTAGAGGGTTATATTTTGAATGCTGAAACCCCTTCCTCTGAACACAATGGCAATACCATCACACAAGTCTGGAGGAAGTGCTGGCCAAAACAATGTTAACAGGAAATTAGGCAAGTGTTTGGCCACTCTGATAGCTCGGCTTGCACCTTTCTCTGTCTCAGAACACTTTCTGTAGTCTTCCTGGCTAAATAAACAAGACTTGTGTAAGTGTTCAGATATTCTAGACTGGATTGTGGAATATAGGATAGAAAAATGTATAGACAAAATATTCAGAGATTCTTGTGCAGATAAAGTTATCCATGTTCATCAGTAGTTCAGCAATATCACAAACAATTGATCTGCAATTGATAATAGAAGCAAACAGAGTAAGAGTATGATCATCTTGCTGGAAATCCAACTATTGTATGAAGTGGTGTTTAATGATATAGGCTCAATTGTCAAACACTTAGGCTGTGAGTGCTGTGCTTGTTATGCATGTATGAGAGGAGCAGCCTGTGGCTTTGAGTTTCATGATTCGAAGAGATGGACTACGCTTCGAGGGTAGCTTATCTGATTTTCTCATTTACAGGATTTGATGGTACATTTGTTTGAGTACCCTATCTCTGTGAGAAAGAATACAAAGCAGTGGTTCTACAATACAAATAGCATAGAAAGAAAGTGAATTAAATGTTAAGGCTATTTTTTACCTTTATTGCAATGCTCTCACAGCCTGATGCAGTTGAGTGGAGGGGAATAGATGAGAAAACCACAGAGAGTTTTCTGTCCTCTGGGTGAGCATTTTTCTAGCATGTAGTGTTATTAAACTAAATTCCCGAAGTGTGTTTCCTTTATTGGGCTTTTGAGATTTGAGGATTTAGAAAGATTTAAAGACAGATGACTTTCTGACCTTTTTCTGACCATGTAGCCTCTCTGCTTCCACTTTACCACCCTAGAGTGATCATTAGAAGCATCTGCTCGATTACCTCCAGTGTAGTCAAAGACCCTGACTGTTCAAGAGGCCTCCGGGTAGCTTTTTAATCAGATTTTCAGAGAAAACACAAGGGAAATTTCTAGAATTGCTTGTATTGTTGTTAGTCTCTCCATTGTTTATCACTTACATTCATTGTATTATTTGTTTGAGGGTTAAAAGAAGTTTGTGTTATTCTATTCATTATGAGAAGAAATCATATTTTCTAATGGCTCTGTTAAAAAGTCTATTTACAGCTCATTTGGGTTGGTAGATTACATATAAAACACATTGTACTCTTCCAAAATAAAACCCACCTGACAGTGCAGATTTCACATATTACAGATCAACGACGTAGTCTTAAAATAAAGCTTACTGTGCAGTACAGATTTTATGCATTTATACAGAATAAACCACATTACTTGGAGGTAAATAAAAATATTTATAATATTGCTAGAGAAATATCTCAATACTAACAGGTCTTTTTGGTTTAATTAAATGTTTATTGTGAAATGCCATAGTATTCTTTATTCAACCATTGAGGTCTTTTACTAATGTCTATATGTTTAGCTTTTGCCAGTATATATTTATTGCTTTATTTTGAGTGTCAGTATGTTGTGAGTTCTTGTTAAATTTGTGTATTACCCCTGGCCAGTATGCCGCGCTTTTTGCACATCTTCCATTATTCAGGAGATGATGCGAGAGCCAGGGCTCTTTTTCGGCTGACATTATTGACTCATTGTGCTGCTGTGCAATCTAACAGCATTGCATGTTTGCAAATGGGCCTATGTGTCTGCACCATTAGCCACTCTGTGTCCCAGGAGGATCCTCCGTCACTGCTGATGCTCTGTCTGTTTTTGTTTGTCGTATTTTGATCGCTTGCAGAGAAAAATTGACATAGCCTTTTGGAGGATAGGGAAAGTGTGGCAGGACTGTGATTGATTGCAGATGCATAAACAGGGCTCGAAATTAACTTTTTTACTTGGTAGCACACCAACTTCAAAAATTTAGGAGCACAAAAAAAAATTTAGGAGCACCAGAAAAAATTTAGGAGCACCCACCAAAAATGATTGAGCACCGCTGGAAATTGTATTTTAGGGACTTATTGTATTTTAAAACAACATCAATTAGGACTAACAAAAACCAGAAACAACTATAACTAATGCTGAGATTACATTGATATTTGTGTGCAATAATTCCAAAATGTGTATGTCTAATAATTCTAGAATATTAATGATGATGAAAATGACAATAAAAGTAACAATGAATTACATTTCTCATCATCATGCTGCCTTGAATGTGTTTGAATGTAAGTTATCTGCTATAAAAAGTCTGTTACTTTATGAAAAATAAATGTATAGTTTGCATCAAACAAAAATGAAGCATTGCAGTAAGAAATATTTATTTTGTACTGCTAAACAGCATATATATGCATGTCAGTTTAATAAATAATATTTCTGCTGCAAAACAAACAAAATATTCTAATAAAATATTAAATTCAAGGCTGAAAGCTGCAAAACAGTCATCAGTAACTAAATAAAAAAATATATATACACCTCAAGAAAGAATAGGCAAAAGAAAATAAGTAAAGTCTCACTTCTATTACTCTTTAAAAGTTTTGGTTTCAGAATGTTCCGTCTGAGCTGATTTTCATTTTTCTGTGTTTGTGGAAAAGCAGGCGAGTCAGCCGACCCCATTTATGAGCAGGTTGAGCACCGGCGCAATACTGCTGTTTGTTATGAGACGGAGACGCAGTTTCAGTGTAAACTTAGTAAAGGCGAGCTTATTTGGCGATGATACAGTATTAGATTTGACTTTTAGCGGACATTTGCGCTGAACACACAGTGAATGCAACACATCGAGATTCGGCCACCTTATCCGAAAAGCACATACTCGATTGATCTCAGCTGGCGGATCAATATTCACCACGTGTCATGATCGCTCTCATCTGTGCCTCAACTTTAGGTGGGGTTTGCACTTTGCAAACCTGTGTGCTTTAAGTTTTCACACTTTAGCCGTTTGCATTTCCCGTGGACATAAAAGCTCCCTCCCTGTCATCTAACAGTGGAAAGCCTTGAGTGATTGACAGCTAATATGAACCAATATAGCGGCAGGGAAGAGCGATTCAGCACGTTTTTAAAAAAAATCAAAACAGGTCGCACTAATGCGCCCAAATATTTTATGAGGTTGCATCGATTAATTTTTGGGCGCATATGCGACCAAAATGGTCGCAATTTTGAGCCCTGATAAAGAAAATTATATTTTTCATGCACAAGCCAATCAGAAAAAAATGTTTGGACTCATTTCTGGCCCCAAAGGACAGTGGGTAGGTTAAGGAAACACGTGAAACTCCTGAACTTTCAGCCAAACAGTGAGCTGTGTATAGATATTAATTATTATAATAGTCTAGTAATTACTCTTAAACATGAAAATGAAAAGTATTTATATAGAGTTAAATCTAATTATTAGAAAATAATACACTCCCAAGGTGATGTGACCAAAAACCTTAGCCACTTTGGTTCTTAAAAAGGAGAAGGAAAACATGAATATCTGCACCTCTCAACAATGTCTGTCAACAGCATCTCCATAATATTGAAAAACCTGGGACTGATTAATTAACAAGTCAGTTACTAAAGGTGTGTTTAAGTCATCTAAGATAAATCGTATTTACAAGTGGAATAGACATAAACATCACCACAAATTCATTATTATGAGTGGGAAACTCAACAATTTCTTTAACCTCAGAGTTTCTTAGTTGGAGGAGTTTCAAACATGATAGATTCACTTATAATGCATAGATCATTTATAATAGAGAATTTTAAATACAGAACCATTCGTTCATTTTTTCGGCCTTTCGGTTTAGTCCCTTTATTAATCTGGGGTCGCCACAGCAGAATGAACCACCAACTTATCCAGCATATGTTTCCAGCTGCAACCCATCTCTGGGAAACATCCATACACACTCATTCACACTCATACACTACGGACAATTTAGCCTACCTAATTCACCTGTACCGCATGTCTTTGGACTGTGGGGAAAGCCAGAGCATCCGGAGGAAACCCACAAAAATGCGGGGAGAATATGCAGACACCACACAAAAATGCCAACTGACCTAGCCGAGGCTCGAAACAGCGGCCTTCTTGCTGTGAGGCGACAGCACTACCTACTGCAACACCGCGTCGCCATTAGAGAACCATTATATATTTTATGAATTAGTAAGCAGACTTCATGGATGCAAGGTCTATTCTTGTGGGTTTTTAGTACACTGTTAGACCTTACCAGGCTTTTTTACAGTAGAACACTGGCAACACTGTTGCCAGCTACTCACTGTAAAAGTTTGGTTACGGTAAGTAACTGGCAACAGTGTTGCCAGTTAATTACTGAAACTGAACCATTACAGTGAGTGGCTGGCAACAGTGTTGCCAGTTGTTTACTGTAACCGAACCATTGCAGTGAGTAGCTGGCAACAGTGTTGCCAGTTAATTACTGTAATAGAGCAGTAGTGGTAACTAACTGGAAACTGTGTACAGTTAATTACTGTAGTGTTACAACTCACAGCATTATACTGCATACACAATAGTATGTCAAGGTCTTACTAAAATTAATTAGTATTCTTACCTGTTATTAATTCTTTAAATTAATTAAGTTGTAAACTCTGACAAACTTATTTTATTGTTTTGGCAGCAAACAAATATAAAACAGAAAATGTATAACAAAATTAAGAAATCAGCAGATATAAATATTATCTTACATATTACTGAGAGCCACAGGTCTGCACAGCAAGGCTGCAGTCAAACTAACGTTTAAGCATGCAAAATTCATATGTCATATGGCTCTGCGAAAAGGAGTGGGATTAAACAAAATATTTAGAGATTGAAAAAGCAAGCAACTGGTCCATAATTTTTGTTCAGAGAGGTCATGG